ACCAGGGCTTCTTAAACTATGGGTCGCGACCCCATTTGGGGTCGCTTAGAGAAATCTTGGGGTCGCGAGATTTTAATGCAAAATATTGAAAATAATTTGAGAGAGTTTGAAAATGGCACGCTTTGTGTCATAGGTTTCGTGAGTTGCGCTTTGTGTCACTTCTGGTGCAGCGAGACAATGATTCAGCAATGCTGTAGTGTGAACTAGTGTAGTGTTGTCGCTTTTCAGTGTATTCAGTTGTCTCTGTTCCATTGTAACACAAGAGTGACTGTGGTAGTACACCATTATTGTTTTTGCAAATATGTATATATTTTTATTTTAGATTTTTTTTTGGGGGGGGGGGGGTCGCGAAAAAATTCACAATCATAGGGTCGTGGAAATGGGGTCGTGAATATAAAAAGTTTAAGAAGCCCTGCTCTAGAGGACTCTGGACGAATCTGGACGAGTCGAAAAATTATCCGGGGTGGGCCGTCCGGATATGTTGGATCCCTCCCTCACCATCTGGAGTTCCATTGTGAACTTGGCCGAACTCATAATGGGATTGCTAAAAAGATTTCTTAGTGTCTACAGAGCGGAAAATGTTTTAAAAAATTATCGTGTGAATATCTGGTCTGAAAGTGGAGAAAATCATTATAGTTCTCTGCATAAATTTTATAAAAGAAACAGTATAAAAATACAGTATTAAAAATAAAATCATTGTTTCCAGTTTTTGCATAATCTTGATGATGTGGAATTAGCATTGTTAAAAAATAATAATTTAATACCTTTTTTACTGGATAGTATATAAGTTTCCAATACCAGCTATTGTTAGGGATGGCATTTGGTATTATATGATTCTCTGGCACCATCGGAAAAAATCTTCCTCTGCCTCTGCTATCTCTAGTATCCCCAGCGAAGACGCCTATTTTCTCTAAGCACAGTCCTATTTCTACATCTTCTGCTCCTCCATCATCTTTGCGACACTGATTATTGTCTAATGCTTCGACAAATCTTCTTACAGCTTCTTTACTTAACACGTAACCGGCACCTCCACTCATAAATCCCTGCTTCACTAAAGTCCGAAATTTGCACCCGAAGTATATTGGTTCCGAAGTATTTTGAGACATGAGAAAATACTTCAAATTTTCTATTATTACGTAGGTATCGTCATCTGCCTTTAGAAACCAATCCGCATCCTCTCTATGATGCTCATAAATATATCTGAATGCAGACTTTGTTTTCCCCCATAAAGAATTCCTTCCCTCCGAAACGTTCAATTTTATAATAGGAAGATGGGGATCGTATTGGGTACTCATGAACAAAAGAATATTGCATCTCTTCCCCCAAGTTGCTTTCACGTGTTTGGCTTTCTTTACGTGATTTGCTGGACTTGTCATAACCCAGCATAAGACTCGAACTCCCTTAGCTGTTGTTTTGATGTCAATGTCTTCATCTATATCTAAAAATATATATATTTATTACAGTATTAATTTTATATAATTTATATAACAAATCTGTGTCACTATTTATGAAATAAACTAAAATATAGTAGAATTTTAAACTGATAATTTATCCTCTATAAACAAAGATAAACATTTTTTGAAGGTATAAGATCAATTATAAGGTAAAAGACTAAGATATATTCGTGATAAAAATATAAATATTATAGACACAAACACATTTTTTATTTCCGTAAAACTTTCCATTGTATTTACATTATATTATTATTTTATTATATAGTATTGTAGAAAATTACATAAATGTTCTGTAAAATAAGAATATAAAATTCTAAAGTAAATTACGGGCGAGAAAAATGTAGGGTACCACATTTAGAGAGACTAACTTGTAAGTTAAGACTTAAACCATACTGATAATAATGTTAAAAATAATCGATTCGTAAAACTAACTTAAGTAATTAAAATCTTCTAATGTTTTTATATTTAAAGCATAAAGCATAAAGAAATATCTAAAAATATCTACTTATAAAAAGAAATTGTTCCAGTTGGGTTGCAATTTGAAAAAATTGTAGATGTATAAATTCCCACTGTCGTTGTCTGTCAGTTTGTCTGTCCTTCTTTAATCTCAAGAACGGTGTTAGATAGATGTAAATCAAGAATGATGTGAAAGGTGTAAGAACATGAGACCCCGATAAACTGCATATGAACTTTTCTTTTGGCCCGGAAGTCATGTTATTTCAATTCAAAATTTTTTTCTTGAACGAAGTTAGATACAAGACCGGCATGACTTCATTGCTAACAGGAAAAGTGTGATGTACAAGGGCAAGACACTACTAAAAAAAGTACATTGAGACAAAAAATTGCAGTCCAGCATTCTGACGATGACACAATAAATAATTGCTGGTATTATGTCAGTAGTTTATAGAAAGGAAAGATTCGTTTTTATCTTACGATTGTTGACGATGAGTAGACGGAATTGAGTCTTTCATGACATAAGACCCATCGTTTACTTTTCTTCCAATCATCACAAAAGTGTTTGAAAACAATTCTTATGTATTTGCGAGTACAGTAGTTTAAACTTCTGGCCTGATGACATAATTAGGGTAAGAGAATAGGTTTATATCTGATGATTGGTGATGATGGAGGAGGAGATCAAAAATGGGCAAAATTCTGCTGATGTAATACTTGAACAGTAGCCAATACAGGGATGAGCAAGATAGGAGGCTGTCTAGGGAGACAAATTGCTAGGGCCGACAAAATTTGTCGGAGAAAATAAAAAGAATAAAACATTCTTAATTTCAGATAATCGATTATTTTACTTTTTTAAAATAATTAAGCAATTGAATGTGTGAGGTTCGAGCCCTCGGATCTTTCGATTAAAATCAACTATGCATATATTTAAAAAGAGCGACAAATAACTATCCTGCACAGGGCCGCATAATTTTTAGGTTGGCCCTGTACTTGAACAATCTCAAATACAGCATAAACATTTGAAATTTCTGAACATATCTGTTGACTTTAAATCAAATAAGGACCTGAATATAATGTATTTAATATTATATTTATTAATATAATGTATTTCAAAATGGCCTAAACTTTAGACCAGTGTTTCTCAACCTCTAACGAATCGTCGCCCCCTTCAACGTAGTATCGCCCCCTTCAATAAAACCGTTACGTAGTAGCACCCCCTTCACTTCAAAATTCCGATGCCCAGGGCCAAGGCTAACGCCAAATTCATACTGCATTGAATAGACTAGTGACTAGTATAATGTTATTTGTTTAATTATTGTACGATATAACGAATAAAATATTTAATTATTCTTAATATAATGTTTTACTATATAGTCCAGAAAATTGTTTTTCGCTCCCCCAAATATAAATTGTTACTAATCGCCCCCTCAACATGGAAAAACGGGGGCGATATCGCTTCCGTTGAGAAACACTGCTTTAGACCATTAACATCTTCAACGTCCTTGGTGAGTTCTCGAATTTAAAGAATTCATTTAAAGTAGAAAATATTTAAAAGATGCCTTTCATATTTAGACCTTTATCTTGTATGCTTTACGAAAGAATTTGCGACCAAAAATGAAAAATTACAAATATTCGAACTAAAAATAATGATAAATTTTTAAAGTTGCTTTTTACAGAACATGCATTTATAGAATTTGTTCAGGAATGCAGTTATTGAAATTATCAGTTGTAAATTTATATTTTAATTAAAAAATTATAGAAAAATAATCTAAATAGTTATAATTATTAGCATTTAATTTAATTTATTCAAATATAAAATATAAATATATAAATGTGCAAATATTGTAATATAAATTTTCGATAGCTGTGATAATTATCACAGCTATCTATAAATCTATATATATAAAAATGAATGTATGTGTGTGTGTGTGTGTCTGTCCTTCATGCATTACCACACCGTTTATCCGATTGCCGTGAAACTTTGAGAAGTTGTTTAATATACTCCGGCGAAGGTTTGTGGCATAGTACGATTGCCATAAAACTTCGGAAAGTTTTTTAATACACTCCCGCGAAGTACATTTGTCCTACGATAGATGGCGCGCGTTTACACGAGCATTCGAGCACAGCGTGTTTGATCGATTTCAAATTGTGAAGACCATTTCCCCCTTCAAAAATATTTTTATATATGCATTTGTGAACTGTTATTTACGATATTCGTAATAATGTTTGTTTAATCACTTTATTTCAATTTTTTTTTGCTAATTACGTATTCGCTCGAACTTTGTTAAAACTTTAACTGTATACCGAACAACAACCGAAGTTGTAGAAGGAAATTCGCCTATTTTACCGATCTAGGGATC